TTAAGAAAAGACTTGTGTCGCTAAAGTTTCGTGGGAACGAATTTACGGAAAATCAATTAACAACTGGAGACGTAACAATATCACGGATTAAAGATCTGACTTTCCCCGACTTTAAAATGAGTTTAACTCAAGAAAAGAGACTGAAAACAAAATTGTACAAATAAACAGTCTTTATTTTCAAACATAAATAAGGTTAAAATCAAATATGAAATTATTTAGTGAGCTCTGTTAAATTTGAAAGATCTTTATTAGGTCTCTCTCAACAGTATTAGTTTTAAGTTAAGCTAAAGGCAAAAACAAGTATTTAAATCTCTGTCTACAAAAACACAAAATCTGAAACTTAATAGGCTAATAGTCTATATCAAACCAAAGAGTTTAAAGTCTGCCTAAAACAAAGCATCTTATAAAAACTCATCCAGTCTGTCTAAGAATATTACTTAAACAAGGAACTGCCTAAAACAAAGAAAACCTCAATAATATATATACAACCATTCTCACCATTCAAAGTAAAATTTTAAATTTATCTAAAGCAGTTGAATTTATTTTTCAGTTTAATTTAAGTGTTCAAAGTTTTATTTCTTCTCATAAATAGAATAGTTGTTGTTTTCATAGTGCAAAGCTTTGCAATAGGTTATCCGCACTTCGTCTATTGCGGGAATCAATCCTTGGATTTTAGCATTAGAAGTGCATAAATTTACCGCTGATCTATCGGGAGACATAAATATTGTTACGTCTCTGGTCGTTTGTTAATTACTCGTAAAAATTCTTCCCGAGAAACTTCAGCGATACAAGTCTTTTCTTAAATAAAACTAGTTTATTCTTTCTCAATTCAACTTTTCAATACACTTAATTTCCACAGTCATATTAACTTCAACATACGCTATAATTCACAACGAACGATTCACGCACTTTATCGCACTTGACTCAGTTGTCCGCGTCTATCTCTGCCTGTCTGCAATTCAATTATTGCCGTCACTTTATTTACCGTCTTATATATATATGCGAAATAGTGGGCGTCTGGAGAACACTCGAGGCTTCACGAACGGACATGATCTTTCTAGAATATCATGACGTGTTACTAGAGGCACGTGACTTCCGCTGTCGTAACAATATAATAAGAATATTTTTAACAAAAAGAGAAGAAGAAAGAGTGAAGTAAAATACAAGGTAGATCACTGCGCCATCTATTCACGTGGTTGAAATGGCTCGTAAAAAGACGAGTAAAACTAAAAAAGTTTTAAATTGGAAACCTGTTACATTAGATTTAGATTTAGCTGGACAAGGTGAATTTGAGGGACTTGTTGGATTTGAAGAACTAGATTGTTACGAATTGGTTAAAGATTCTAAAGGAGGAGCTGTAATTGTTGGTAATGACAAGCACGCATCTGCTAAGCCTAAGGTAGAACTGTTATTATTAATACTAGTAGTACTTGTACAGTACGGTAAAGTCTTGTAACTTTGAACAGTTGAAACGTTGAATTCGAAGTCGTGTGATTAAAATTGAAAATTTTATAATTCACATCAATAAATTACTTACTAGTAATACTTTTAAAGTTATGGTTATAGTGCTATTTATCTTTTACAGTTACTTTTTATTTACATATTAAAAGTCAAAAATTAACATGGAAAGTTGAGGCATCATACTTGTTTGCAAACAGTAATATGTAGAGTTGGGGCCTTTCCTTTTCCTTTTTAAGTTTGTTATATTTATGTTATCTGTATTATGTATAGTAAATTAATATGATAAAACAGTTGTTACCATTGTAACAAATTTTGCTCATGCACTGAGTGATACAGCGTGACATAGAGTTTAACAGATTACACAGACTAACTCTAAGCATGGTTTAAATAGATGTTGCATCCCAGTGCTATATTATGTTGTAACCATATTGTGGGTACATTCAGGGCTGCTCTTGCCAACAGGCCTACAAAACACACGGCTTATGGCACTAAAATGTGCGGGTGCAAAAGCTCTCGGTTTTTAAAAGGAACATGTAACAAGATGTACTGGTTCCAATTACCAAGTGTTTGTTTAGTAGTGCAAAATGAAAAACATTCCATTGTTCGGATCGTTCTCTATAAGATCTGGATGAATATTTCTAAAAGCTATGGGATTTCATTAACATGGCGAGATATACCCACATTTGAGAATTTCAACAAACAACGTAAATAGTGTTGTCACCACATTAAATCTAATGCTGTCTGATTAAGCTTTGGGTTTTTATAGTACTTATTCCCTGTTGGGTTTCAAACGTTTTAAGGTAAAGCTGCAATAAAAGTTTTATATCAAATAATACAATGTTAGTTTAGCTTTGTTTGGCTAATTTAGGTAACTTTAGGAGTATATGGTTAATTCTGATTAATCCAAAATGTTATATTATTATAGCTGAAGTCTTTTCTTTCATATAAAAAATACTGATGATTTGATTACAAAGCTGAAAATGAAGTTAATTTTGCTAACACAATAATACTAAATTATTAGAAGATACTTTTTAGGTTTATCTTGATTCATCATCAAATGGTTTTTCAGATTTTCTAAGATTAAGTTATAATTATCAAAAGTTTTATTTTACACAATAAATTGATGTTATTCTAATTTTTATGTTGTTTGATTTTAAATTTATGCTACTTGGAGAATATCCAAAGTACTAGGTTTAACTTTGACGAAGGAAAAATTTACTCAATAAATAAAATGAGTTATGATTATTAGTTTTTCTTATTAGTTAAAAAGTGTTTCAGTAACTTCTTGATTATTTAATTTTTAGTGTATTTATTATTTAAACCATTTGAAGCTTTGTACTGTCAGTTATGGTTTGTGTTTTAGTGGAATTCTCCTGAAGAAACTGTAAAGCAAAATACTGAGTGTTCAGTTAAGGAAAAATAACAATTTTGGTGCTATAAGGTTGTTTATTTCTAGTGTTAAGCTGCTTAGTTATCCACACAACATTTAAGGTTCCAACATTGTTGTAAACCTGCTTATGGACATTTAAAATAATACTGAATTAATTGTTTCGATTAACACATCTGGAAAAGTGTGCATAGTATTTTTACAACAGGTGACTGATAAGTAAATACATCTTTCATTATTTCTAAACATTCAACAATGCACAAGCTTAACATGTAGCTTTGAGATATCCAGTGTCCAATATACTACTGTGCTTGTGTGTGTGATGTTAGACATTAGGCACTGTAGGCAATGCATTACTGTTTGCATGTTAACTTAGTTAACTTAAAATAATTGGACCATAAAAACTGATCTGTGATTTTTACGTGGTAATACATTGTAATACTTTTAGAGCTAGATAATTAACTTGATCAAGATATAATCGATTACATGCTTTCTAAAAACCTGCACTTTCAATTACATTTTTACACATTGTACCAAAAGACTAAGCGTTTGACAATTTTTATAGTAGTATATATTTATAATAAATCAGAATTGAGTTTTATAGTTCTTGTTAGTGGGTATCAGTAAATACATATTGTACTCGGCTTCTTATGTCATGTTTCAATATGAAATTTTGTTTGCCTGGTTTTATTTCTCTCACAATGATTTCTATTATATGCATGTAAGGCACAGTTTATGTTTGACAAATAATTTGTTTAAATAAGACTGTGTTGTATAATTCATGCTAATACTTATCCTCAGTGTTTAGAAATATTTATACACATAATGCTAATACTATTTTCGATACCTCACTACTAGAAAGGCTTGGTTTGGCCTGTTATTTTATTGGTGGTAGTGTCCAGGGTCACTGATCAGGAGTGGAATTCTCCGAAACTAGTCTGGCTCAAGACACACCTCCAATGAAAGAATAGACCATTCCAAGTTTTACTTGTTGTTAAACAACTCTATTCACTTATCCTCAGTATTTAAAAATATATATTCATATAAAGCTAATACCTGTCCTCATTGTTTAGAAATATTTATACACATAATGCTAATACCTATCATTAGTGTTTAGAAATATATATATACATAATGCTAGTACTTATCCTCAGTATTTAAAAATATTTATTCATATAAAGCTAATACCTGTCCTCATTGTTTAGAAATATTTATACACATAATGCTAATAAACATTTTACTAATACATATAAATTAAAAATTTCTAAGATATTTTGTTAGATTAAACTAATATTATAAATGATGTTATAAGAATGCAAAGAATAAATAAAATCCATTTCTTTAGTGAGTTTTGATATGATTCTTCTGTAGGTGAAGAAGAACGAAAAAAGAAATAAAAATGGCTCATTTAAAAAATTTGGTGTTAAGAGGATGTCAAGGGTATCGGAGAATAAACATCAAACAGATGCAGCAAACCACAAAGAAGTTAAAAAGAAAGGTCTGAAAAGGAAACTAGATGGCACTGTTGTAACTGAAACAAAGAAGAAAACAGAGACTTCAAATGAGAATAAAGGTGTTGAGTTAGTAAATCTTCAAGAAAGAGGTAATATGTTGGTCTTCTGTAGTTTTGGTTATTCTTGAGTATTATTTTCAAAACTGTGTTGTGGCAAGTTGCTAGGGGTGTCACAAGAGTTTCACCAAATGAAGAATAATTAAGAACATAAAAAGACTTTAAAAATATATTGCATGTGGCAGCAGGGGTATCACGCAAACCAAGGTTTGTGGGTTAGAGTGTCATCATTGAAAAAAGTTTGGAAATCACTGTTCTAGATCATGTCTAGGGCAAAATTAATATAATATCAGTTAATTAAGTTTAAAATGTTTGTATTTACTGAACAAATTAGCAAATTGTACATTTAATATGGTAAGTTTTATATCTTGAATGTTTGTTATTAAATTGAACTGAAAAAAAATCAAATGTTTATCTTAGTCATTTTAGGACTGACCATAAAACCTTTTTATGGTATGTTTCATAATAAAATTTTAGAGAAAATGTAAATTTCAAAAGAAATGTTGTGTAAAAGCACTAGTAATAACATGGTGTTCTACAGTGAAAACAATATTATCTTACAAGTTGGCCTTATTATTCCAAATTAGTAATAACATGATGTTCTGTAATAGCACTCTGAAAAATACAGTTTCTTTTTCAGATATGTCAGCTTGGACAAACCTGTTTGTTCCAAATTCAGTACTAAAAGCTTTGGGAGCAATGAATTTTACCTCTCCTACCCCTATTCAAGTTCTGAGTCTTCCACCAGCAATAAGAGATCGTAGAGATATCATTGGTGCAGCAGAAACTGTAAGCTACAATTGATATTGTTAGCAAAAGAATAGTTGTGTATAATTTAAAATAAATTTTAGTCACTGGTTATACCAGGTTCTTGTCTATAATTTCAAATTTATTGGTTTCCACTAGGATTTGATGTTATTGACAACTTTTTTCTCATAAAAAGGTTAGTTGTTAAATGTTTTGATTTTTCTAATAATAACCAGAACTAAACTGAGAGCTTAACACTTGAGGCAGCTACATATCCTTTAGTTTGTATGAATAAAATGTCTTTTCTATAGGGTAGTGGAAAAACACTAGCATTTGGAATTCCAATTGTTCATCGAATTTTGGAAGAGAAAGACTACATAAAAAGGAACCAAACAGAGGTTAGTTTTGAGGCATCTTTTGAATATCTCTTGTCATCTGGGAAGATTGTTTTCCTGGATTTTTTTATAGTAAGTAAATACCAGATATTTTCATCGTCATAAAAATTCTCTTATATGTGCATGTTATTTAAAAAAAAAAAACCTAGGTTAGGTCTTTGCTGATACATACTATTGGTTATGCTGAAAAGTGTATGAAATTAATAATTATTAAAGTGTTAGTTTGTTTAAGATAGTTTGAAATTATTTCTGTTATATGAATAGTGTTGATAAAATTGCTTGATTTTCTAGTTGAAAGAAGATAATAATATTGGCCACTATAAAAACAAAGGTTTCGTTTAAATTCTTTCTATTACAAATGGAAATAAGAATTTTTGTAAGTTAGGACTTTTGCAGGATATTTGTGTGTTTCAGTTATGTCTGAATAAAATATTCTTTCTGTAATTGAAGAATATTTTATCTTAAAATGATGAATGTGGTATAGGGAAAAGATAGTGATTCATACATAGTTGGAAATGGTGTCATTTTCTCAATATTAAAAAATTTACTTTTGACATTGGAAACTTATTTTGAAATGAAATTGAACATCTCAGTGGAGTTTAATATTCTAGAGTGAAAGGGGTGGTAATTATTTAATATAGTTTATTGGAATTAATCCTACTTGTGTCTCGGAGCACTTTTCAAGTTTTGAGAGCACTCCTGCTTATCAAATTTTGGAATTTAAGTAAAAGTAATGATTCTAACTCTACCTTAACAATTTTTAACTCAAAAATATTTTAGAATTGATCATTTTTTCAGTATGCAACATTTACTTAGTGTAATGCACAAGGAGAAATGAACAAAGTTTCAAATTTCTACCCAGCTATGAGGAAACATACATGTATTGTTTTGTTTTTTTTTTTAGAATTTTTCTGCTCATCACTAAGTATAAGTTTATATTTGTTAAGATATCATCACTTGAAAATATAAATAATTATTCTTTTCTTGAGATTTTTCTTCTCTTTCAGTGGTTTTATTACTACTGCTCTTTGCTGCCACCCTTTTGTGGTATCACATTACATAGTATGAACAATTACTGATGAAGCTTAGCTCTGAAAGTAAAAAGACCCAACAGTTAAATATCATCAGGTAGAGCAGAGTATAACCTATGTATGTCAATGTAGAGCAAATTTTAATGGCTTGTAGCTTTTTGGGAAATTGATTAACTGGAACTCCTCTAGGGGTGAACAAAGTAATGTAATGGAAAGTTTAGAAGACTTGGTAACAAATCATAGATCTGGGAATTTTTTGTAGTTGCTCTAGATGTATATGAATTTTTTTAAAGCATAAACTAGATACTATTATATTCGTAAGTTTGTACAAAGTTTTATGTAATTTGGTTAAGTGTTTTCATTGTAAAAAAAAAAAAAATGAGATATCAGTGATAGCCCTTTGGTCCAGTAAGGGTTAATGTAGAGTTAAGAAATTTTACATGACCTCCAATATGCTCAAAACTTAAACATTTAATTTTCAACCAATCTTATTTGGGTATATGATAAAACTTGTAAATTTATTGACTTCTTATTGAAATAAACTTGTGTACTGAAATTTGTATTAACATGAACAAAATTTTTTATTTCTGTTTTGTGTCTTTTAAATATAGTATTGTTATATTTGTTGTGGATATAGAACAACAAAGATCTTCCTGCTTGTCCTTTAAGGGCCCTAGTGCTGACTCCTACTCGAGAACTCGCTATCCAAGTAAAGAAACATCTTGAAGCCATCATGAGATTCACTGACCTAAAGGTATGCTCATAGCTAAAACAGGGAGTTGTTAAGTTTTCTTTTGTACAACCACTGAAATTATGATGATCATTAGTGAGAAAGTTTGTTTAATCTACCTGACACTGCTTCTTAACAGAATTGTATGCATTCAACAGAAAACCTACTTAATTTGTAAATCAGATTATGCTGGTGGTAGAGCTTCATTAACCCTATCTCGACGGGTCACATGGCAAAGGCCGTGTCATCGCGTTTGTTGACTTGCATTCAAAATTTTATTGAACTACTGTTTTATGAATATATGTCAGTAAGTTTAGTATCAAATTGTAGATTATAATTCAAATGTTAATATTATACTTTAATTAATTTCTTAGTTTAAAAGTAAATATTTAAAAAAACAAAGCTAAACATTGATGAAACTTTGTGAAATAAAATCAATCAAATTATGTATAAAAATCTTAATGCACATTGCAGTAATTTCTATAATCAATAGGTAACAGTAGTAGTTGGTGGAATGGCTCCTCAGAAGCAGCAACGCTTGCTCAAAAAATGCCCTGAAATAGTTGTTGCGACACCTGGCCGGCTGTGGGAACTTATTGAAGAGGTGTGTGTGTGTGTGTTATATATGAAAGATTGTCTGGACATCAGAAAAATTAAAAGCATATAATTCTTTTATAATATATAATAATAATGTGGTTGAATTATGGCTTTTTTTCTTTTCTGTGTGTGTTTATAGTATTTAATAATTACATGGTTGAATTATGGCTCCTTTTTTTCTGTGTGTTTATAGTATTTAATAATTAAATGTTTGAATTATGTCTACTTTTTTTCTGTGTGTTTATAGTACTTTAATGATTACATGGTTGAATTATGGCTCCTTTTTTTCTGTGTGTTTATAGTACTTAATGATTATATGGTTGAATTATGGCTCCTTTTTTCTGTGTGTTTATAGTACTTAATGATTATATGGTTGAATTATGGCTTCTTTTTCTGAGAGTATTGGTATTTTATTTATTTAACTTTATGTTAGTCTTCTAGGGTCTTCACGGACCCCAAATATTTTGTAAAAATTATTTAATTTCTTCCCCTATTCAAACAAATTAGATTTTAAACTTATTTGTTTGTTTTTTCAGGTATGTTTCCTTTTTCACATTGCAACGTTTGCTCTTTTTCCTTTTTTTTGCAGGGTGAACCACATCTGAACCAAGTATCAAATATCAAATATCTTGTCATTGATGAAGCTGATAGAATGGTGGAGAAAGGACATTTTTTAGAGCTAAAACAATTGTTACAACTTATCAATAGGCGAGTTTTACGTACATTATGTGATATCATATAGTTTTGATCCTAACATAATTAAAGGTAGTTTAACACTTCTTGTATATCCTCTAAAGGTACATATTTATAGAACTAAAACACAGATAACCACTTTGTACCTATTCTATTCTAGGGATGAAGAAATGCGAAAGAAGCGTCAGACGTTTGTATTCTCTGCCACTCTTACAATGATTCATGACCTGCCACAGAGGTTATTACTCAATAAGAGAAAGTACAAACTCACACAGAAGGAAAAATTGGGTAAGCTGTGATAAAAAGAGTGCTAATTAATAATGAAGTAAAAGTATTGGAGAAGCTAAGTATGCAAAGAAACTTGATGTCTACAAGAAAGAGTTAAGGTTGATGGGACTAACAAATTACAGTTAAAACAAAAGTCAAATTCTGTTTTGATTAGCATCTGCACTTTACACAAATTTAATAGGAACTAAAATAATTATACTGAAAGCCAAAATTATAAATTTCCATAACAACTGAACCACATTGTTCCTCAGTACATAATGATGTTGATGTTTCCATAACAACTGAACCACATTGTTCTTCTGTACATAAAATGTTGATGTTTCCATAACAACTGAACCACATTGTTCCTCAGTACATAAAATGTTAATGTTTCCATAACAACTGAACCACATTGTTCCTCAGTACATAAAATGTTGATGTTTCCATAACAACTGAACCACATTGTTCCTCAGTACATAAAATGTTAATGTTTCCATAACAACTGAACCACATTGTTCCTCAGTACATAAAATGTTGATGTTTCCATAACAACTGAACCACATTGTTCTTCTATACATAAAATTTTGATGTTTCCATAACAGCGTTCTTCTGTACATAAAATGTCAATGAAGAGAATGCATGGAAGTGTCAAAAATACTTTCTTAGTCTTTGTGCTAATATTTTGTTCTAAGAGGTGTTGCTTATTTCTAAAGTATGTTGTACTAAACAAAGAAATATGTCTCATTTGGTCTTGTTTTCCCAACAATATGAATATATCTTTAATGCGAAAAAATTTCTTGATTCTTGTATATATTTTGTATACAATGTAAGATGACTGTAATACTTGCACCTATCTTTATGTAGAGTTGCTGATGTCAGAGTTGGGCACAAGAGATAAACCTAAGATCATTGATTTATCTCGAAGAGTTGGAACAGTAGAGACGCTAACGGAAGCTTGCATCAACTGTAGCTTGAAAGAAAAGGTTAGTTACAATTAGTCATCACTCTAATATGAAGGACAAAGCAGGTCATTGTTAGTTAAGAAATGAATTTTGGAGAACATAAGTTACTTTGTAGTATGTCAACCTTAAATGCCACTATTAGTAATATTTTGTTTGTTAACTTGTTATTGTGATATGGAGAATGAGGATTACTAGTTAACTTGATATTGTGATCTGGAGAATGAGGATTACCATTTAACTTGTTATTGTAGTCTAGAGAAGGAGGATTACTAGTTAACTTGTTATTGTGGTCTAGAGAAGGAGGATTACTAGTTAACTTGTTATTGTGGTCTGGAGAATGAGGATTACTAGTTAACTTGTTATTGTAGTCTAGAGAATGGAGGATTACCAGTTAACTTGTTATTGTGGTCTGGAGAATGAGGATTACCAGTTAACTTGTTATTGTGGTCTGGAGAATGAGGATTACCAGTTAACTTGTTATTGTGGTCTGGAGAATGAGAATTACTAGTTAACTTGTTATTGTGGTCTGGAGAATGAGAATTACTAGTTAACTTGTTATTGTGGTATGGAGAATGAGAATTACTAGTTAACTTGTTATTGTGGTATGGAGAATATGGATTACTAGTTAACTTGTTATTGTGGTCTGGAAAATGAGAATTACTAGTTAAGTTGTTATTGTGGTCTGGAGAAGGAGGATTACTAGTTAACCTGTTACTGTAATCTGGAGAATGAGGATTACTTGTTAGTGTGGTGTGTAGAGTAAGCAGGGATAGAAATAATAAAATAAATTATTTTCACTCTCAGGAAAATTACATTCCCTTATACAAAGTTGCATTTCTTCATGAATCGTTTTTTATTTAATCCGTGAATATGTTAACTTTCATTGGTCATAACTAAAGGAATACGGATGAACCATGCTCTCCTGATCAGGAAGGCCAACTAAAAACATGAAATTCCTCGGGTTTGTAATATTTCAATTTCTGTTGAGGTTTAATTCAAGGTAACCTAGCTGGATACATTCTATCCCAAGGAAAAAATAACTACACTCTTGAATGATAGAAAATTATGTTGTAATATTCTTCCAAACATTAAAAAAATATATCTAAATTAAAGTTTATTAAATAAGGAAATTTTATATATTTAATTTCATACATAATTTGTTTTTAAGTGACAAATTTTAACTTTGGGTTGATTTCACTCTGAACAAACACATCAATGTTTGTGAATTTCCAGAATTTTTCCTTATCATAATACAGTATCACAATCCCCTAGGAAGAAAGTTGAGATAGTATTGACCAAAACAGTGCTAATTTGACCTCATAACCTAAATACAAATGTAGATTTATCATGTTTAGCTAACTGCTGTTTCTCAACTTTGGTTGTCATAGTATGATGTAAATGCCTATATTTTATGTTTGAAAAGCCATAGTTGATTAATCTAAACACGTCATAAAAGCTCTTTTATCTAATTTAGCAAAGACTTTTGTAGAGATCAGAAAATAATAAAGAAGAAATGTTTGTGGACAACTTAACTCACAATTATAGTCTTGATTTTTCTTTAAGAAAAGCATGCTTGATCATTTTATATTTCATTTAAACTATTGCAGTGGAAGAAGGTGTGGTAAGCTTAGGTAGGTTAATTTTGCAGTTGATTGTATCAAGTTTTGTTTCAGCGAGAATTTACATTAGTCTTTATTGGCATATTAACTGCTTGAATGGGCAAGAATATCAATAAAAGGAAATGTACTAAAATATATATAAATGAATATTTAATGGGTTAAAACTTTATACTTTTGTTAAATGAAAACTTCATATTAACAATCAGAAAAAAAACTTGCTTATAAATTTGGTACTGCAGAAAACACTATTTGTATTGTACACGGTGGAAGTGCATGCAGTATTTTTTAGTGAAAATAAAGATAAAATTTACAGTTTTATAGAATAAAAACTTTATTAATAAGCTTTACAACAATATAGGAAGACAAAAATCCTTAATTAAAGTATACAACATAGTGAAATCTTTTTAACTTTTCTAAGATGCAAATTCATATAAGCATCACATGTCAAAATAAAACATTTTATTTTGGAGAAGCTACAAAATCTGTAGAAAGTTCATCTCAAAGTATCCATTAGTTTGTTTCAGAATTGTAATGAAACAAACAAATGAATCAATGCATCCTAGTGATTAAGAGTTAATAGCTCTTAGTTTAAGCTAGAGAGTGAGCATTATTAAAATAAGTTAGGTATGTTCTAAACACAAAATATTTGAATATAGATTTGTTTCTTTCATAACAAAATAATCTTTATTATTTTCTTCACACATTTCTTCTGCTTTTAGGTCGACAAATAACCCGTGTTTTATATTTCTTAAAAATACAGGACTTGTATTTGTACTACTTCCTGCTGACATACCCTGGAAGAACACTTGTGTTCTGTAACAGTATCGACTGTGTTCGACGTCTGAAGAATGTGTTAGATCTTTTAGCATGTTCACCATTACCACTCCATGCATCGATGCACCAACGGCAACGACTTAAGAACTTGGACAAATTTACTACCAGTGAGCGAGGTCTGTTGTTGGCCACAGACGTAGCAGCAAGAGGACTAGACATTCCTGGAGTTGAACATGTTGTTCACTACCAGGTGCCACGCACGGCAGAGGTACGCCATTCTAAAAATTAAACATGGCAGTTAGTACTTGTTTTGTAATGTTATTGTTCTATTTAGTGTTAGTTTGATACTCATTGAAAAATGTTAAAGAATTATGACTTCTAATTTTACTTCCATAATTTATTTTTGATAATAAAACAAAAGTACATATGTTATTTTATTGAATAACTTATACTGCATCTTTGGAGGGTAACTGTAAAACAAATAGATTTTCTCCATTGTAAATTGTTTTTATTATGACAATGTTTTTAGATACTTGTTTCTAAAGGAATGTTTTAAATATTATGAATTTTGTGTATTTAGATCTATGTTCATCGTAGTGGACGTACAGCAAGAGCTCAGAGAGAGGGCCTGAGTCTGATGTTAGTAGAGCCACAGGAAGTAACTTTTTACCGTAAACTATGTAAAACCTTGAACAGGGGTAAGTATAACTGTTGTTATCAGCTGAACTTAAACTGGTAGAAAGTTAATTTCCAAAAGATACAAGATCTTATGTTTTGATGAAAAATTTGTTTTCATCTTCTTATACTGGATATTTCTTATCAGTTGTTGTTTCATGAATGTTTGAAAACACAAGAAAGTAGTACATTTAATGTGGGATTTCTTTATGCTTCTAAAATGTAGTTTATACTGAAGAGGCAGAGAGCACTTAACTTGTGTATCAAGTTAAATTAGCTGTTAGTCTAATGTTGCATCATAAGAGGTTAATTAAAAATGAAGTTTAGGGTTCAGTTTGTTATTCTATTATTTTCAAATCTACTAAAGTATATGTTGATAGTTTATTACATATCATCTTCCAAGATCTAAACATTAGTGAACCAAATAAGTTTTAAGTAGAAAATTTAGATAGAAACATATTAGATCTGAATTCTCTAGTTCTTCTTCATTACTTCTATCCAACAGTAAATGTTTTTTAAATGAGAAGAATGTAAAGGGAAAGTAACAACCGACAGTGTTCTGATAAGATACATTGTAATGTTGGTGGTCATATTTAATATCTTTGACAGATTGTTTCTCTCTTTTGTGTATTTTTATCATTCTGTATTGATTGTATTTTATCTTTGAGAAAATAAAACACAGTTATATAAATAACAGATTTATGAGAGTTAAGCTGAGGTTAATTATTTTTTTTCCAGATGAGGACCTTCCATTATTTCCTGTTGACCGTGCAGTCCTTATTATGGTCAGAGAGAGGGTAAACTTAGCTAAACAGCTTGATGTGTTGGAGCATAGACATCGACAACGCTTAGCTCAAAATAATTGGATTAAGAAGGTTGCAGGTGAAATGGATCTAGATGTGGGGGATAAAGAAGATAACTTGTATCCTTGTTATAAACTAGAGTTTGTAGTTATTGGGGGCTTTTGTTATTAAGAAATGTTGTACATTAATGTGCTATTGAAGACAACTTGTATCCTTGTTATAAAGTGTAAACTCTAGTTCACTAGTTTGTAGTTATTGGAGGCTTTTGTTACGAAGAAATGTTGTACATTAATTTGCTACTGGAGGCTTTTGTTGTATTGTGCTAATAAGAAGGAAGCTGACAAACCCCCAAAATAGTTAAGATACATGAAAAATTATTTCAGACAGCAGATATTTTCTTGCAGTCTTGTTATGGGTTTTGAATCAGAAAATAACATTGTCTTAAAACCTGTGGAAGATTTAAAAAAAAACCTTTTACAGTCTGATGTGATTCTTTTGAGATAGATTTGGGCCATTATTTAACATAATGTTTTTAACCTAGTATAGGCCTCCAGGGACAAAGGTATTTAATTGACCATGCCATCTTTATAAAAAGCTAAATATTTTTTCTAAATGTAAATATAGAAATAATAAAATTAAAAGATGTCTGTTTTTTAGTGTTTGATATGGACTTACATTTAATAGATGTGTGTGTGTGACAGATATTTACGTTTAGTAGATGTGTGTGTGTGACAGATATTTTTCTGATTGTGTTTCTTAACCATATCAAGCTTACATGACATGCAAGACCCCACTGAACAAAGCGGGAATATAAAACAGATAAAAGTCATGAAGAAGTCTCTGCTGACTATGCTTAACCAGCCAGTAGTTCGTCGAGGCACAGGTGGAAGCTATCCAACCAAGTCTGGAAAACTGACCTTACCTTATGTTCAGAGTAAGAACATATAGTGATTTACTAATATTTAATGGCAAAATTTTTTTACAGAATTTTTTTCATTACACTTTAAATATGCATTAAAAGTTTATTGTTGAATTGAACTTATAATTATGTTGCTTCAAAATTTTGATTCTTAATGTTAGATATCTAAGTAACTCATGCTCAGCCAAAGTGCTAACTATATCATTAATTATTAATAATGGACTTGCTCTAATATTGTTCCAATACATACATATTTACTTTAACATATAAAAGTTAATTTATTGTGGATGAGCATCCAAAGGCACAGGTAATTTGATAATATTTATCCAACAGGTCAGAAGAAAGCTGTAACAGTTGTCCAGGGTGATGTCGCTGAAAATAAACGGTTCAAGCCAATGGGTAGAAGGAAAAAATTGTATAAAAAAAATACTTGTAAAGGTCACCATTAAAGTTATTTTTAACCTTCACTCTTAGTGTTTAGAATTTTATAAAAAACAAAAGGTTTTATTCAAAATGTTAGACAAAGTGAAAATATGACAGGTCTGGAAAATAGAACAGTGAAAATAGGAACTAAAATAACATTCTGGAAAACAGTAAAATGAATTAAATGCAAAGAAATGCTTTGTTTTGTTCTGCCAACATATCAACTATATCAGTAAAATATGGCATTATTACACCCAAACTTAACTTTTGTAGCAGTTGTACCACTACAATCTAAACTAATTCTTATGTACAAATGCTTCACGGGTATCTAAAGAATACAAACAGTTTGATTAAAAAACATTTATATATATTAGTTGATTGTCATAATACTGCTTTCTCCATGTGCTTAAAACTGAAAACCTGCAAAGAAATTTGCATTTTTGTATCAATGTGGAATAGTGGAATCTCTATGTAAATAAGCATACCCATGTAGAGTAGTGTATATTTTTATATTAATAAGTGTATCCATATAGAACAGTGGAATCTCTTTATGATAATAAATGTATCCATATAGAATAGTGGAATCTCTATGTAAATAAGCATATCCATATAGAATAATGGAATCTCTTTATGTAAATAAGCATATCCATGTAGAGTAGTGTATATTTTTATATTAATAAATGTATCCATATAGAATAGTGGAATCTCTTTATGTAAATAAACATATCCATATAGAATAGCAGAATATCTTTATGTAAATAAGCATACCCATGTAGAGTAGTATATATTTTTACATTAATAAGTGTATCCATATAGAATATTGGAATCACTAAGCTATTAGTTACTTACTTAGGCCCATTGTTCCTGTTGGGCATAGGCCATCAACAACACTCTTCCAGTGTGTCCAACAGTGGGCTATCTTCTGCAGTCTTCTTTGTGTCTGTCTCAAGGTTATTCCTCTGTAGATTCTAGGTCAGGGATTGTCTGTTGACGTTCGAGATGGGCTTTCATAGAGTGTAGAAAATGCAGCCACACTTTCTCCTGAAGATTTATTTCTCTGCAGGGTTTTGATTGGCTGTTACTGACTAGTAAATCTGAAGAATCCATGTTACTAAGTGTAGCTGTGTAGAACTGTGTGATCTTTGTTATTAATATGTGAATTTCAGTTTTAAAAAAGTAACAAAGGAGCAAATGTAATCTGTTGTTTGACAAAACAGTATATGAATTTGTAGAATTAATCGGGTAGATTCCATGCAAGAACAGTGACAGAGAAGAATTTTTGTGAACTTCTGCAGCCGAAGTTTTTCAGCTGACTTATTTCTATATTTTCTGTAACTAACAATGTCTTTGGAGTCTTGAGTTTTTAGCGAGAGTTTGATTGTTTTTACTCGAGGTTGTAATTTAACCTTTAAATAATGTTAAACATATAAATGACAGCTAAATTAGATGTGTACTCACATGTTCTAGATTGTTCCAGAGTAGAACTATATCAATAGTCTTATCTTCCATGCTTAAAAATATCTCTTTTAAATGAGTACTATAAAATGTGTGTTAGGTTATTTACAGAGTTTATTTCTAATATATTTCGTTAAAGTGAAAAAAAAATCACGCAAATTACAATCTTCTAATTGTAGATTTCATTATCTGCTAATAAAAGGAATCATTACTGAAACTTTTTTGAATTAATTTAATACACATAAAGTATATAAGATACAGTTAAATGTATGTACTATGTATATCAAAAACTTATGAAGTGTAGGTGGTAGTCTGAAGGACTTCATTTCTCATGAATCAAAAATCAGTTTAGAAATTTAAAACCAGAAACGTTATCATATTTTTGATTTGAAACTAAACACACACACTTTTTTTTGTGAATCTAACAGATATAAAAATAACTCCATAAAAGTACATCTGTTCTCTGTATTTCACTATTCTAGCACTTGACCAAAAGACATTAAAATTTGGTTGTGTCATCTCTTTCGAAAGCCTCATTCTGGTATGCAATAATACCATTTTCAACATTTGAAACAGTCTTTCCACTAGATTTCCAAATTTTCCAAGAGATGTAATTGGTTGGATTACTAGGACCCCAGTCTTCTCGTGGCTGGAAAGCTTTTTTCAATCTCTGAAACCCAATATAAAAAACTCGGTAATTGTTTGAAAATGCTTATTTCATATATTACATGGTAACCTCTAGGAATTAAAATTAATTATCTAAAACTTAATGATATTTTACTTTAATACATAAGAAACCTGTGTATTTAAATATGTGTATATTTCATCCCATATTTTTGTGTTAAGCTTATACATTGAGCCCATTAATTTGGTTAAAAAGGTTACTTAATTAATTGTTTTTTGTTTTAATATTGTTTGTAGCATTCCCAAAATACAATGTAATAACTGAATAAAAGAAACATGGAAGATAATTAATATGTAGGACCATCATAAACTAAGCATCACAATTTACAATATAACTTTTCAAGGTTACAAACAAAAGTAAGATATTTTTCATGTAGGACCATCAGATTACTGATAACCAGAAACTACACTTCACAATTTACCATACAACTTATAGTTAACCTGCAATTAATTTACCAAAAGATCAGGGAGAAAACAAAGATAGCTTCGTGTAAGCAGCTGAATTTTTGAACTTTTTTTATTTTCATGTATTTGAGTAAGGAAAATTTAGAATTTTGTACGAGACTTGTTCTTACCTGTGGACCTTTCGTATTGTAGACTATGCGTATAATCCATATGGGGATCTGGAAGATGGCAACAGCTGCCAGAACCCACCCTATCGCCGTACCCCAAGGTGGAATTGTACTACTTTCTTCATTGTTCTTTTCAATGGCCAACATCACATTTCCATAAATAAATATCACCTACAAGACACAGAGATAAATATTAAAAAAAAACGTGGATATCATGTCACCGTTATGATGGAGATAACGAGGGTGAATGTTAATAGCATCATTTCACATTTTTTTAAAATTATTCCTAATTGGTCTTAGTTTCACTTAAGAAAACGATAAATGAAGTTTGTGAGTAAATCCTTAACGATTTTTACACACTTACACTTTCTCAAATTAAAGTTACGGTTTCATGCCAACGAAGCATTAGAAACCAATAGGTCCAAAATGCAGTATGATAAAAAAAATCATGTTATTTTCAGATTTTTTCTATTTACAGTATCGTGTATATACATGATAAGGGGATCATTTCTCGGAAAGTCCCATCTCACTGTGTTAAGTTATAATAACGAAGTTCTATGTATATACATTCCTTTCTTTGAAGAGTAGTAAATGTTCATTACATAATAGCAATACATGTCAAATGTAATGTTCTGGGATATGCAATTTTAAGCTTATAATACGTTTTACATGAACATAAAGCTAAAATATATATTAGATACAAATTAATTCGCAGTAAAAACAACATATTATATAGCAAGAGGGAGTGCTTACAATTAGTATCACAGGTGCTGTGATTACCCACGTGATTTTCCAGTACAATCCTACTGCGGCATTCAGCATGAAATGAATGTCGTTACAGAAGTTTCTCCAACCTGTGGAAGCGTATATAACCAGTTTATGTATATAATAAGTTTAAAAGTGCAAAATTGACTAGTTAAACTTTTAAAAAAACTTTTAATTTACTATTTTCTAAACATTAAATTAACCTTTTAAATTTAAAAATTGTCAATTATACTTTAATATTTAGCTTTACTTCTAATTTTTTAATTTGAATATAGACCACATAACATTGTAGGATGAAAAAGGATTCGTTCATTTATTTTAAATTATTTTGTTAGATAATTCATGGAAACCAGAAGTATATAAACTTACCATATATCCACATCAGTCCCGTTGTTTCTACAATACAGTAAAGAAAGGCAGCCGTTCCAACACCATAATTGTCAAGTAGAGTCATTATATAAAGGCCGGCCTGACGGAAATATAAACACGTATCAAGCAGAAAACATTTTTAAAGCCTAACAAAACCACTTTGATATATTTTGTGTTTAAATTACCACAACGAATTCTGCTGTATAAGTAAATTTGTATTATAAAACTGTGTTGTATAAGCATTGCAGATCTCAGACACAGTTAACAACACACTTAGATTGTAATCAATTATATTTGTCACATTTTAAACATTACAGTCTTTGTAATTTTCCTAGAGAATGGGTGTATGATAATATTTCAGCCACACTATGTCCACCATATATGCACACACACACACACACATATATACATCTTTAAACTCTTCTGTTTTTTCTCTTATTTATTGTTTTGTTCTTTCGTGACTTCAAAGGTCATTATTCGGGATATACTTTCACAGATAATCTATATTTAAAAACGTTCAAGGACCATTTTTCAACTAAACTTAAATAACCCGAATTAACTACATATTTTGAGGTTTGTGAGGTATAATTGGAGTTTGACTGAAATGCATTCCGTAATTGGTATTAAGTAATAATGCTGATCATCAGTAGTGCATAATCCAGGATATAGTGGATAAGACTTTGGTTAGAGTATAAGCAGATAAAGTTATTCAACTCCATTTCCTGCTACAGTTTTCAGTGCCTTTGGTAGCTCTGGTTACCGTGATGTTATTGTATGTGTTGAACGTGACCCCTAGATATTTCAGTGTTTCTCCCAGAGGGAAAGCAGTGATCACAAAGGATGGTGATAGTTTGTCCTCATCAGTATATCTGTTGTTGAGTGTACATAAAATGGCTGTAGCAGGATTGGTGATCAGACCTGTTTCATTACACCATTTCTTCTAAGGGATGATTACATCTTCCTTTTGATTTCAACTTTGCTAGAGCTTATACTGTACACCAGGATGCTGTCAGCACACACTATCTGATTGGACTGTCAAGATGGACTAGATCCATGGTGTAAATGTTGAAGAGGACTGGCGATCCTTGAGGCAGACCAATATTAATACTAATAGTGATTCAGTCTGATTAATAGTTTCTGTGCTTCTTGATACATTTCTGGTAGTTTGTGCAGCTATTGCCCATCTTATGCTTGTTACAAAGATGACTATTCTGAGCATTTTTAAACAAGAATGGGCAGTTGGATTCTATGTTAGGTATATCCAATATTTAAGGCTACTGCCAGGTGTTCTGATCAGCAGATACAAATTCAGCAGCGTTGAACAAAGTATCTCTTACACTCTGATATCCACCTAATTATGATGCTAGTACTGGTTCAATTTGTTAGGTAAACATTCTAACTTCGGCCTTCTCTGTGATATGTTGTAAGACGATGATTTAATGACCTTTAAGACGAGAGTGATCAGGGAGACAGTGGAGACAATTCGAAAGACCTCCACAGACAACCTAATGCCTTGAAAGGTGTAATTTAGCCAATTATGAAGAACTCTATCTATGTGTGGTGCACCATCAATTTGTGGCTACATAGTACTCACCATGGCAAGGGGTATGTTATCCAGAAATTACAATACTGTTATTTTCATAATTGCACGTTCTGGGTATGTGGACTGGTATCCAACCAATAGTGAGCATTTTGATGTTAACAACCCCATCACGACTAAAATTTTGTCCAGGTGAAGTTAATGGGGAACTGTGGATCTGCCTATATTCATACCAAAAACTCAATGCAGATATCATAATGCCTTTAATCACCTTCATGGAAACTTTGATGGAGGTGAATATGAAATGACTAAAATCTGTTTCTGTTGAGTACCCTAACCCACTATGACGAGTAGTATCGTGGGCACTATTATGTAAGTCTTGTGTGATAAATGCCAATATTACAGTTTTATTGTCTGTATTGGTTGCTGTTCTTAGTCTGTGTGCACAGCGTCTATAAGTAAATGGACCTTTATTATGCAGTCACTGACATACACCTCCTATCATCTGATGTGAAGAATGGCGTTCATTTGGAAAAGATTTGACATACAACATAGCAGCAGCCTGGTTATCATGGTGACATAGCATACAGTAGAACAAGGTTAAACTGCTAGATATTGGACCATTAGTTAGATGATTTGGGAGCAACTGTAGCACAATGTTTGTGTGTGTTACTTTACGTAGGAGACTTTTATTTTACTAGTTTTAACATTTTGGACCCTTCAAAGGTGCAATGACCTGCTTATGCAAAAATCTAACCTTTCACCCCAAACTTACTGTAGTTGAATTTCGATCTTTTATTGCACAGCTCCATGTGCATGGTATGGTTACATTTATGTTTATATCAGTAGTTTTTGAGTAGCGATGTTGACGATTTTTGGTTTAAAATGTTTCATTGATTATTGTCCACACCTATGCCAATAACAATTTGGTGATGCATTTCAATAACATTTCGAAGGACATGACCTTAAATAATTCCAATAATATGATCATAAAGTAGGCCCAACACCTCATTCTATACCACTAACAATTATTTTCTGTACCTCTTCATTTCTGAATTATTTGCCTGTGATGGACTTCTGAAACACCCTGTATATATTTCACTCAAACATTAGGCCTATTTGTGGTTGAATTTTATCACATGACAATTTATTGTAGTCATTTGTTCCTAACATTAAGGAAGATATAACAGGAAGTAGGTACTAATTCATAATATTATATTTTACAAAGTCGTTTTCTCTTTTATAATAGTTATTCTATGTCTAGTAATAAATTGTTATAATCAATTCATGTTGTTTGAGTAATTTTTAACTTTGTTTTTGTGTAATATCTGATACTATTACATCTGACTCGCTTTTTTGTAAGTGACTTCAAGGACTAAACTCATAATTTTTTAAATAAGTGTACAATTAAACTTTACATCTGTTGTGAGTGGCAATCCACAAAGGCAAAACAGGCTACACACGCACAAAGCCACAATACTTTTCTTCTTCTGGAGGACGGGATACTGATCTTTGATAGATGTCAAAATAGTTTCGACTTGAGCGATCTGCAACAGAAAACGAATAACAATGAACAAAATTAAAGGTAGTAAAGATATTAAAGGTTAAAAATAGAGTTACGTATAGAAAATACACAAATTATACATCTTACTATAATGGACGTGTCGTGTATTAATGTATGTCACCGAAATAATAAATACAATGTGGCGCCATGTATTGAATAAAAAAATTTCACACTTTGGGTATTCAAGACTCAGACAATTAGAAAAACAACTGTGGTATGTGCAACAACCATTTCTTTATAATTGAACACAATTTTAAATAAAAGTACTCTCCTCACAACAAGAACACGACTTTCACTAGGATTGTACCTTCATTGATGTAATTTGTAAATATAGTACTAAAAAAATGGAGTTACTAAAAAACGTATTTTTAATAAAGAGTACCACTTTTTATATATAAAACCATTACAGGTTATATCAGCACAATCCTAACACTTTTCCCGTGCAGTACTTTCCAGAAAATATCTTTTTTTCACATTTTTCAATGAAGTACGAATACTACGCTTAGTAATTACTAGGACAAACAGTAGGGCAGCGTGTCTGCTAGTTTATATAAAGTTTCTTTGCGATGGTTTGTTGAATTTCACGCAAAGTTACACGAAGGCTGTCTGCGTTATCAGCCGTCCTTAATTTTGAAGTGATATACTGGAGAGAAAGCAACTAGTCAACACCACCCACCGCCAACTCTTTGGCTACTTTTTCAGACTGAAGAGCGGGATTGAACGTTCACTCTTGTAACGCACTCAACTCAAAGTACTGAGCGTGGTTTTGTTTTTGTGATAACGGGACGCGAATATTACTGACACATTCCGGCCACATTTTTATGATAGCTACGACATAAAAAACTTTGGAGGCACAATGTTAACACCATTAATATCATCAATAGGAGTTTTGATAATTTTCTGGCATTAACAACACAGTTATACTGTTTCGTCCAGTTCTCATATCTTACCGTCGACAACATAATCTATTCAATCGAAACTTTAAATTACTGAAGACATGAAATACAAAGTTTATTGACACTACTGTCGTTCTGGCAGGCTGTGATAACTAATCAATGTATACAAATTAATGAGACTTCGATTTTTTCTTGTTACTTTTGATTTTTGTTTTCCTACAACGAAGGAAAACATTTTACAGCTTTGATCAAAAGCCACTTAACAAGTCACGTAGCATCCTGAGTGGCAAAACGCTAGTTAGTCAAGGAAGAAGTTGAAATTTTTAAAACTGGCAATCTGCGACAATCTGTGTTGAAATTTGTTAAAATATCTCGCTTCCTTATTAAACAGCAGTGCTTCTCAATTGGGTAAATGGTTCCCCCTGGTGTTAATGAGTGTTATCAATTATACAACAAATTCAAGAGCTAAAAAATAAGTCAGTAGTTATTATTATTCATTCTAGTTGTAGTTTGATGTATATTTAAGACATAACAAGAATATTGCATTTTAATTTAGTACTTTTTTGCCTTTTTTTCGAACTGGAGTGAGTGAGTTGTTGTGAAAAACTTATAGTGGTGAATGACATTGAAAAAGGTTGAGAAACAGTGGACTAGAAGTTCAGTACGGGTTTCCTAGGGTGCTTTGAGACGAGAGTGTGAATGAGCGTTGAGTAGTTTTGGCATAAACACAGACTGCAGTACAATAAATACAAAACAATACAATACCCGTCTTACCGAACTTCCTAAGCCTAATGTCAGTAACATAACGAAGAAGAGGACAGACCACAGCTGAGGTACAACTTTTATCTTCCCCAAAGCTTCCGGGTAGGCTATAAACGCTAGGCCCATACCTGAAAATGTGAAATCAAGTGAATGAAAAGGAATTTATTCTACCCGAGTTTTTTATAACGAAATTGCGAATATATATTTTTCATTAATTGATATATCTTTTTATTTCATATAGGTAGGAAGTTAATTTAGTCATTTAGGCACGGTTAATAAAATTGTACTAGCAAGTTATTCGTCGTAACAAACATTGCTACACGACCATTAAAACAGATAGTAACAAAAGAATAAACATGTGAAGCTGTAATTTGAATATTGTTTGTCTGTTTGTTTTGAATTTAGCGCAAAGCTATACGAGGGCTATCTGCGCTAGCCATCCCTAATTTAGTAGTAATAGACTAGAGGGAAGGCAGCTAGTCATCACCACCTACCGCCAAATCTTGAGCTTCTCTTTTACCAAAAAATGGTGCGATTGACCGTCACATTATAACGCCCCCACGGCTGAAAGGTGGGACAGGGATTCGAACCCGCAGACTGCGAGACGACCGCCCTAACCAACTGGCCATGCCAGGCCAATTTCAATGTACACTATCCTACCAAAAGTCACGGGACACGGGTAGTTATGAATGAAACGTCTTTATTCCAAGAAATTACTAGCATGTTGTCCCGCCTTTGGCTTCTATGAGTCGTGGAAGACTGTCTACTAATTTCTGGTAGGAAGTTGATGGTATTATGCTCCACTCCTCCTTTAAAGCATTAGTAGGCTCCACTAAACTGAAGAGGGCCGTCTTGGCCTTGCCCTAATTCTGCGTTCCAGTTCATCCCAGAGATGTTCTATTGGGTTGAAGTAGGGGCTTTGTGCTGGCCACTGCAATGTTCCAATGCCATTCTCTT